TCTGGGTCTCTGTTCCCCTCCCTCTCTGGGTCTCTGTTCCCCTCCTTCTGTGAGTCTCTGTTGCCCTCTTTCTGGGTCTCTGTCCACCCCAGGTCTCTGTACTCTTCTGTGAGGCTCTCTCCCCTCCCGTCTCTGGGTCTCTGTTTCCCTTTCTCTGGATCTCTATCCTCCCCCATCTCTGCCCCTCTTTTTCTCTGGGTCTCTGTCTCCTTCTGAGTCTCCATCTCCCTCATGTCTCTGGTTCTCTGTCCTCCTGTCTCTGGGTCTCTGTCCCTTCTCTTTCTGGGTCTCTGTCCCCCCCTCTCTCTGGGTCTCTGTCCCTCTCTCTCTCTGGGCTCTGTCCCCACCTCCCACTCTCTAGCCTTCTCTCGTGCATGCTCCACCCCCATGCCTGTCGGCGCTGCATACTACCTGCCCCTGTGTCCCCCGTGGTTGGTACCTGACTGGCACTGGGGGCCGATGCCAGGGTTTCCGAGCACAGACCCTCACGTAGTCCTTCTTATTGACATTTTCCAGGAACTTTACATAGAGGCGCTGGTACCGATTTTTTGCGTCCCCAAAATACCCCAAATACTATGGGGAGAAAGAGGCACATGAGGAAATTCTTCACACTGCCAGCCAGACCAGGCCAACACCCCCGTGCCCTGGGCTACCATGGTAGCTGCCTGGAGTCTCCCGGCAGCAGGGGGCCCCCTTCCAGGTACACCGTGGAGTGAGTCACAGCCCCGCTAAGGGGAACCCCAGCTCCTAGACACCACATCCCGGGGCCCCTAAGTCCTTGGTCCCCTCTGCAGGCTTACATTACTGGTGGCACAAAACTGCCTCTGGCCGTCCTTGATCTCTGGAGTGAATTTCTGCAGAAGGGCCTTCTGGACTCGCCAAATGGGTGGGGGTTCGCGCCCCGTCTGCAACGCCAGCTGAGGAGGAGGGGTGTGGTGAGGCCAGCTGGGTCAGCCCTCATTCCTGTACCTACTGCCCCTATGCCCTGGCCCACTGGCCTCCCTCACCATCCCCTTAGAGAAAAGGCAGAGACGTCAACAACAAATATCTTCTACCCCCATGATGGGTTCAGTTCTGTGTGCAGCTTGAACTTGGCCCTGTCCCCTCCTGCCCACCCGGTGCCCTGCGTCAGGCTGCTCGTTCTGAGGCCGTAGAGTTTGAGTCACTGTTGCCTTACGGTGTGAAAGCCCAGAACTTCCTGTGTGACTCAGAGTAATGACAATCTTTGGGCACCGCCTGCTATTTACTGTGCTGGACAGGAGGGTACGGTTGTGAGCAAGACGTCCTGTTGTGGTCTGTGTCCCCTCACAATTCTCTTTTTACTTTTTCTTTTTTTGAGACGGACTTTTGCTCTTGTTACCCAGGCTGGAGTGCAGTGGCGCGATCTCAGCTCACCGCAACCTCTGCCTCCTGGGTTGAAGCTGATTCTCCTGCCTCAGCCTCCTGAGAAGCTGGAATTACTTTATGCGCCACCACGCCCGACTAATTTTGTATTTTTAGTAGAGACAGGGTTTCTCCATCTTGGTCAGGCTGGTCTTGAACTCCCCACCTCAGGCGATCCACCCGCCTCGGCCTCCCAAAGTGCTAGGATTACAGGCGTGAGCCACCAAGTCCAGCCAAATCTCTGTTGCTTATAAGCCACCCAGTCTATGGTATTCTGGTATAGCAGCCTGAGGGGTCTAAGACACCAAAAAAGCCTTCACACAGAGGTAATAACAGAGATAATAAGACGGCCAAGCAAATAAACAAAGCAGGGTGAGTTTGTGGCCTGTGCCAAGAACAGGCAGGTGAGGTTACCTGAGACCATTTCATCAGCATGTCCACAGCGGGGAAGACAGAGCAACAGGAAGCTCCCTATCTCTGCTCCCCCTACCCCACAAACACCTGAACACCAACCACCACCACCCTGCAGTTTGCGTGTGCCCCAGCTGGGCGACGGCAACTGATGGACGTGAGAGAATGTGACCCTGAGGACTGAAGAGGCAGCAGAGGCGCCAAATATGGACACAAGAAATAATAGTACAAGTCGTAAATGTCCTGTTGCCAATTCCCAGGACACTGTAGAAGCCTAGAGGAGGGGCCTCAGATTTTTTTTTTTTTTTTTTTGAGATGGAGCCTCGCTGAGTCACCCAGGCTGGAAGTGCAGTGGTGCAATCTCAGCTCACTGCAACCTGCGCCTCCCGGGTTCAAACGACTCTCCTGCCTCAGCCTCCCTAGTAGTTGGGACTATAGGCACCCACCACACCAGGCTAATTTTTGTATTTTTAGTAGAGACGGGGTTTTGCCAGGTTGGCTGGGCTGGTCTTGAACTCCTGACCTCAGGTGATCCACTTGTCCTGGCCTCCCAAAGTGCTGGGATTACAGGCGTGAGTCACTGCGCTCAGCCTCAAATTTAAACTGAATCCAAGAATGCTTCCTGGAATGGGTGACAGATGCCAAAATGAGTCCCTGGAAGGAACATGTCTTTAAAAGGGGGGCCAGGCTGAGTGCAGTGGCTCACACCTGTAATCCCAACATTTTGGGAGGAAAAGGTAGGCGGATCACTTGAGGTCGGGAGTTTGAGACCAGCCCAGCCTACATGGTGAAACCCCACCTCTACTAAAATACAAACATTAGCCAGGCGTGGTGGCGCACGCCTGTACGCCCAGCTACTCGGGAGGCTGAGAAAGGAGAATTGCTTGAACCCAGGAGGTGGAGGTTGCAGTGAGCCGAGATCACAGCACT